CCAGTTATCACTGGCCCTTTCTCCATTAGTGAGACAGACAGCTACAACGGCCAATCAGTTGTTTGGGAAGTGTGCCCAGCCACAGTGCTGAGTTTTGGAATCGAAAGGTGTCTTTTTCAGCCCTTCTTTCTAGGGCTGGGCTGAGTTTCAGATTTGAAGGGAGAAAGGTGATTCAGAGCACGTACAAGTGCACACTTATAGCACCTGTCAAAAATCACTTCAAATTGTTGTGTTGTTTCCTGGGCTCACAAAATTGTCTTTGGTAGTTTCCGCATGATCCTTGGAAACGGCGCATAATTTAAGGTATTCTCAACACGTAGCAAGCGTACGTCTTGTTCATGCAAGTCATATTTGTCTGCTTAAATCTTTTTTTCTCCAGCATTAGGAGAAATGACTTCTCAGTTGATTAGATTTCAGCCCTGCAAAATAATTCTGTGGAATTAGTTTAACCTGTACATAACTGGATTTATTTGTGGCTTAATCGAACCTCCTGGGATAACTTGGCCAGTTCTATTTGTTGTGGGAATTCCCATAACACCTTAACCCTTTGTTGGGCGAGTTAAACAACTTGTGAATGGGCCAAAGAAGACATTGCGTGAAGAACCTTTGTATGATCTAGCACTTTTCCTTCCTGTAGATGAGCCGTATCAGAGGACCAGCTGTTCTGCCATATTTTGCATTGCATTTGAATTTTTTAGTTACTCCAGAAGTCAGATCAAATTGTTGCATCTCGTCATTAGTTATGCTCCATGGTAGTCTTTCCCGACCTCAGCAACTTTAAGATATGTGGACTCCTACCTTCAAAACGACGTTATAGAGCCCTGCACACCAGAACAACTAGACAAAAGAACAGTTTTTCCCCGAAAGTCATCACTCTGCTAAACAAATAATTCCCTCAACACTGTTCAACTGTTACAGTCTGCACTACTATTACTGTTAATCTTCTCATCACTCCTTATCACCCATCCCCTCCCACTTGTGACTGTATGACTGTAGCTTTCTCGCTTGTATCCTTACAATTTATTTTGACTGTTACCTAGTATGATTTGATTGCTTATTGTACCCTATGACTATCATTAAGTGTTGTATGTTATGATTCTTGATTCTTAACGAATGTATCTTTTCTTTATGTATACTGAGAGTATTTACACCAAGACAAATTCCTTGTGTGTCCAATCACACTTGGCCAATAAAGTATTCTGTTCTATTCTATTCTATTCTATTCTATTCTATTCTACTCTACTCTACTCTACTCTACTCTACTCTACTCTACTCTACTCCCCGAATTCCCCAGTCACCATGCTGGCTGAGGAATTCTGCAAGTTGAAGTCCACAAGTTTTAAAGTTGCCAAATTTGGAGACCCCTGATCTAGTAGATCAATGTGTCCTTCTGGGATTGAGTCAAGTTGCTTAGACTGAGATATCAAACTTGGAATAAACTTGGCTGGAAAGCCGGCAGTCCAGGTTCGAGACCCGAGTGCCACACGACAGGGTGAGCGCCCCTCCTTACTCCAGCTCCTGAAACCTAGCAGTTCGCAAGCATGCAAATGCAGGTAGATAAATAGGTACCTCTTAGGTGGGAAGGTAACAGCACTCCATGATGTCATGCTGGCTGCAGAAATGTCTTCAGACAGCACTGGTTCAATGGCCTTGAAATGGAGATGAGCACCATCCCCCTAGAGCTGGCAATGATTAGCGGAGTAAAATCCACTTTTATGATCTCTGCTGATTGTGCCTTATTCAACAAAGGACTCTTCTACCAATTCTGATGTGCTAAATTTAGAGTGTGTATTCTACCACATCTCTGTTCCATTTCCATGTTCATATTTTATTTATTCTACGGTACTGAATTGCTAGATTTCCAGGGATGCAATAAGCCAGGAGGAGCTGTGGAGATTTTTGGAAAAGCAACACATTTTTTGTTTATTTTTGGAATGTCAGGCTGGGAAAGGAGGCCTAAAAACTAGTTAATGCATCTCTCAAACTCCCTGAAATTATCACTTTGCATATCACTTTTTTAGCCTGAATAGTTTTAAGCATATTGTAAGAACATTAAAAATATCATTGTAGCTGTGGTAAATATGTGTATTACATGAATGCACTGATGAATTCATTTTCTGAATTCATCCTTTTCCATGCATATCCATTTTTTTAAAAAAAAAATGTTTGGTCTTAAAAGGGCCATCTTGTCATTTTGCCACCTCAGTTTGCAAATCGGTTTTCTCGTGTTTCACTGCACCTTTAAATCAATTGTTAGAAAAATTGGTGGGTTGTCTCTGCGATCTCCAATTCTTGACCTTTAAAGCTCTAGTGCAGTAATAAAAGGAACGTTGTTTAGCAAAACATAATCAGCGGTTGGGAAAGCAGAGAACATGAAAAAGGAAGCTGATGGAGATTTTTGCAAATTAAAGGGGCCACCACAGTTCCTAAGGTACATGTTAGAAACAATGCATCGGCAGCTCTATATTTAACAATAGGTTAGGCTGTGAAAATGGAACACCTGTTAATATCCCTTTCAGTGCAGAGTATAATTTATGTTTCTTGTGACTTGAAGACTGAACTGCAACTGAAGGAAAATAACATCGCCTGTGTTATTTTTGCCTGTTTGCCATTTGAAGAACAATTCCGGCTATGCTTTGCATTTAGAGCTGAATGCAGGAGAATGTTTTTATGTTTTCTTAGATCCTCCTGGTCTTTCAACTTAAAATTGTTGGATATTTTCAAAACAATGCTTCTGGTTCGTTTTTTAAGAATTGTGAAGGAGTTGACAAGACTGGGGGGAAAAACAAGTCTAAAAGAACTGGAGTTCAGTCCAATTCATATTACAGATAGTCCTCGACTTACAACAGTTCATTCTAGTGATTGTTCAAAGTTACAGTGGCACTGAAAAGGCTTATGATCATTTTTCACACTGATGATTGTTGCAGCATCCCCATGGTCACAGGACTTGACATCTGCTTCCTATTTATGACGGTTGCAGTGTCCCAGATTCATGTAACCATCTTTTGCCACATTCTGACAAGAAATGTCAATTGGGAAGCCAGATTCACTTAACAACTGTATTACTCATTTAACAACCACAGAGATTCACTTAACAAATGTGGCAAGAAAAGTCGTAAAATGGGGCAAAACTCATTAACAAATTTCTCAGTAACATAAATTGTGGATTCTGTTTTGGTCATAACCTGTATTAACATTTTCTATTTCTATTTTCCTAGAAATAGTCCCCATGGGACTGAGTAGCGTAATCTTAATACGTTAAGGGATAGGCTGTATTGAATTTTGTTTTTTTTCTTATTTGAACATATCAATTAATTGACTAAAACCACAGTCCTTCCCAATTGTTCTGTGGTTTGACTGGCCAGTGTAAATCATGCAGGCTAGCCCAACGGAGTAGAGAATGTATCCAGTATCTACAAAATTCTGGATTTCTTTAGCTTTGAGATCAAATTAAGCTACATAATTGGCTTCAGTCCTTTAAACTTGTTGGGCATCGAATTCATCCTTCATCATAATTCATCTTAAGAGAAAAATGTTGGCATGGCCACATGTGTAGAATTCAAACTAGCTACTTTATTGTTTTATGCCTATGCCACAGGAATCTCCTGAGCTGGCAGCTTTCACTTAGGAAGGACTAGATAAGGTTCAAAGTCATTTGGAGGGTGTAAGTCTTTGTCCTCTTGTGTTCATGTAACAAGTCCAAGCTAATTCCATGCTTAAGCCCTTGTCTCATTTGGGATGGTTGTTCTCAATGTCACTAGAAAACCAACCTTTTTTTTAATTTTAAAAAGTCTTTATTAATCAAATTCTACAATTAAAAACATGTTTCCATTCATTTCAGCGTGTTTGTAGTGGCATTCACTCACATTGACATATTCTTAAGTCTGTAGAATATTACTAAATATTATTACAATTATTTTACATTCAATTTATAGCATATTTTCATATATTTATGTAATTATTTACATAATTATACATAGTTATACGTAGTTATACTTAGTCGTACAATATTGTTTCATCTCACCATAACCTTTCATTCGTTTCTCTATTTTGTGTCTACCTTGCAACCAATTATACCATAGATTCCAGATTTCATGGTACTCTGTCTCTTCTCTCTCCTTCATTTCCATTGAAAGCCTATCCATTTCTGCACACTCTAAAACCTTTTTTATTATCATAATGTCAGAAGGAATACTGTCACATTTCCAATCCTGAGCAAAGGCTATTCTTGCTGCAGTTATTATATGTCATATAATATATTGAAATTTCTTACTAATTTTATTTCTTAATGTACCCAATAGGAATGTTTCTGGTCTCAATTCAGTTTTCTGTTTTGTAATTTCCTCCAACCAATTCCTAATTTTGAGTCACGAATTTTTAGTTTGGGGGCATGTTCACCACATATGAAAATAGGTTCCTTGTTCATAATTACATTTCCAACAATTTGCCAATCTATTAGGGAACATCTTAGCCAATCTTGCTGGGGGTAAAAGCCAACAGTAGAACATTTTATATAAGTTTTCCTTGTAAGCTACTGATAAGGTTAGTTTATAATTTACTTCCCGTAATTTTTCTCAATCTTCCAAATTAATGCTATAACCAAAAATTTTCGCCCAAATTATCATGGTCTTTTTTACTACTACTTCTTCCATTCTTAGGAAGAATGGAATTTTACTACTTATTCTTCCATTCTTACTTCTTAGGAGATAAGTATACATTTTGGTGATAATTTTTTCATCTGTCCCCTGTAATATTTTGTCTAATTCCTGCTGACCTTTATATATTCCAAATTCTTCTATATCTTTCTTATATCTTGTTTGAATTTGTAGATAAGGCCACCAGTCTATTTTTATCCCTTGTTCCTTCAATTCTTGATTGGTTTTCAATTTTCCCTGTTCATCCAATAATTCTTTATATCTCACTATTTTATTTAAATCTAGGACATTAGGATATACACTAGAAAACCAACCTCATGGGCTGATATTGCTTTTGGTTACAGCTCTGGGTCAACCAAGAAGATGGAGTTGAAGAAGGCACGAGCGAAGTACAGAATGGACACTTGGATCCAAATGCTGCTGACTGCCTCTGTCTCGGGAGAACCCTCCAGAACCGAGACCAGATGAGAGCCAATGTCATTAATGAAATCATGAGCACGGAGCGCCACTATATCAAACATCTGAAGGACATTTGTGAGGTAAGCCAGCCTCTTCCTGAATATTTTGTTTAAGATTCAAGTCTTGGGTGGAGATGGATTAGGGGATCAGATGGACTAATTTTATCTCTTTGTCTAACTTTGAAGTTCTTTGGGCCAATATTTATGGAATCTTTGTGATATCTACCTTATCTCAGAAGGCCAACCGAGCCACAGATAATTTTTTGGCATAATGCGTAATCATTGATTTGCAGTGATTCATGGAAGTGAGTGTATGATGTGGAATGAACCATCTTAACAGAATAACAGAGTTGGAAGGGACCTTGAAGGTCTTCTAGTCCAACACCCTGCTCAAGCAGGAGATCCTATACCATTTTTGACAAGTGTCCAGTCTCTTCTTAAAAGCCTCAACTGATAAAGCACCCACGATTTCTGACGGCAAGCTGTTTCACTGGTTAATTTTTCTCACTGTCAGAAAATTTCTCCTTAGTTCTAGATTGGCTCTTTTTGTTCAGTTTCCATCCATTGTTTCTTGTCTTGCCTTCTGGTCCTTTGAAAATAGGTTGACTCTTTTTTCTTTGTGACAGCCCCTCAAATATTGGAATATTGGAATCTTCTGTGCTCTCTCAGTAGAAAAGTGGAATGATGATGATGATGATAACTCCCTTTTTGATGAGCAGTAGATGAGTAGGTTCTCTTAAAGAGTGTTCAAAAAAGAGCAACACTCTAGCACCGAAACAAGCAAAATTCTCTGCTCTAATGCACACCCTGAGGGCAGAATCAAGGGAGATCTGATTATTTGCTCAAAGTGACTGGCATCTGAGTCAATTCCAGGTCAATTCCACCATGTTTCATAAGTTGCACCGCAAGCACAGTGAATGCTTCCAATCCTGGCCTATGGGTAGTCCTCAACTTGCAACTGTTTGTTTAGTGACTTCAAACAGTCGCTAAACTAACCGCAGGCCCAAATATGGAAGTTAAGGGATTCACCTGCCCTTTAGGACCTGAGAGGACTAAATGAATGGAAGTGGTGCAATGTGTGGGGTCTTAGTGTTCTCTGAGCTGGGTGGTTTTCTTGCAGATGTTTTGTTCTCCAAACTAAGTAACATCAGCACCACTTGCATTGATGATGTTACCTAATTGGGCCATGAAACATCTGCAAAAAGACCACCCAGCTCAGAGAGCCACAAGGACCCCTCATTTCAACCCTACAAATATACTGCAGCAGTCATATTGTAAGTGTGAGGACCGATCATAAATCATGCTCCTCACACTTACGATATGATTGTTGCAGCATCCCCACAGTCATGTGATCAAAATTCAGCATTTGGCAACTGGCTTGCATTTTACAACGTTTGCAGTATCTGCCTCTCAGGGTCATTTGGTTGCCACTTGCAATCTTTGCACTACAGGACTACCTGTAGTTCTTTCTGCCATTGTTGATTGGGAAACATATTGTATCGATAAAGGAGAATATTTGTAGCTCAGGGTTGATATGAAGGGTCCTTGGTGCTCTCTGAGTTTGGTGGTTTTCTGGGAGACATTTTATGACCCAACTAGCTAACGTCATCAGGGCTAGCATTGATGGTGTTACTTAGTTGGGGGAATGAAATGTCTGCTAGAAAACCACCCAGCTCAGAGAGCACCAAGGAGCCCACCTATTGTATCATCTCCATCCATTTAGTCACCCCAGGTCCTAAAGGCAGGTGAATCCCTTAAATTCCATATTTGAGCCTATGGTTGGTTTAAGGTTGTATGGCATCCATTCAGTGGTTCTCCAGAAATTTCCATGCATAAATGGCAGTGACAGCCTCTAAGAAATTGTGTCCCTGCTTCTTGAGTGACACTGCAATCTGCAGAAGGGAAAGAGTCTTCTTTTTCTTTGTTAAGTTTTCCACACTCTCCTCCCTTCTGCTCAACCTCAACAAACTGCAGCCTTTAGAAAACCACCCAAGTGAAAGATTGCAGCTACTGTGTGCCTCCAGCTAGCTTTAATATTAACAACCTTGTTTCCGGCTTCTGAGAACTGTTAGCATGTATGCTGCTCTCCCTAACTCAGATGGAACATTCTTCCAAATTGGTTCTTTTCAACTAGACAGAAAAAAATAAATGGCATGGTAAAATTGAATGTCCCTGGTGTGTGTGTCGGTGTGTCTCTGTGTTAATTGGATTGTTTCTATGAAGAAACAGAATAAATTTAATTGTGTTTGAATTGGAGAGATCCATCTATTTGCCTTACAGGAGAAATAGCACATTTTATAAATGTCCTCATTTCTCCTTCTCATAATTTTAATGCTGGTATAAAGAGGGAAAGCTGGAACCAGGGATGCTGCCTACTGCTAAGCATCTCCTGGGTCAAATTTGCTGGGAGGCTGATGGTTTTTGTTTTTTTTTGCTGGAATTGCTCCAGTTTATGGTGACTCAACTCACTCTATTAAGGCAGGTGGCTATTGCCTAACCTCGTCTGCTGCTCTTTATTACCCCAAATGGAACTGAAGGAGCAATCTTCCCCAAAGGTGGAGAAATAAGAACCTTTCTAGTGTCTTCTTAAACAGAACAGATTGCAACGAACATTCCCATTTGCAAAATGACAGCCCAGGCACAGCTTCAGGAAAGCTCATTTTGCCCAAATTAAGTGGACAAAACCAGAGTGTTGGGGCGGCATTGGAGAAGGCTGGAAAGGACAACAGAAACCCTTCAGGTGCCAGCCAATTGCATTGAGGCTTGTCCGGAGTCCAGTGAAATCTGAGGGTGTTAGGATTCTAGTCTAGTCTAGTCTTCTCCATAGTCCATATATTCTGTCCTGACTTGTCCTGGGTACCTATGCTACCCTACTCTATCCTATCCTATCCTATCCTATCCTATCCTATCCTATCCTATCCTACCCTACCCTACCCTACCCTATCCTATCCTATCCTATCCAAACTGCAATAATCCCCCTCCCCAGTAATAACAATCAAGCTAATCACTTGATGGGCTCCAATTCACCCTGGGGTCCCTAGACTCATTGGTCAAACCATGTCTTTAGGGTCTTTTGAAAGAGTGTCAGCGTAGTGGCCAATCTTATCACTGGGAGCCACTGCAGAGATAGACCGTTCTTCCTGGTCCCATTAGATGGACCTCCATAAAAGAGGGACGCTGTAACATCCGCTGCCTCCCCGTTCTGGTGGTTTAAATATAAGTGGGGAAAAAATAAATAATAACCTGGCCATCATGACAACCAGAACCTTGAACTGGGCCAAAAGCAATTTGGGACTCAATGCAGTTCCCATGAGAGATGTGACACACGTGCAAATCTGGACTTGCACTAAAGCAAGCAGGTTACCACATTTTGAACCAACTGAAACTTCTGGATACTTTTCAAGGGAAGATCCATGTAGAGCACATTGCAGTAGTCGATGATTAGCCCCAAAGTGCAGGAAAAAATAGGAGGAGGAGAAAATCCATGCCATCCCCTCAAACTGTCCTCAAAGACCAATATATGAAGATTCCTTACCTGGAGAGACAAGTTCCCTGTGACTCTATAGACACATAGAAACAGAGCAGGTGCTTCCCCAGTGCCTGTACGACAGAGACATCCACTCTAGCTTCATCTCACCATTATTGCACAAAAAAACCCAGAGTGCCCAGGGCCATTTTATACCATCCTGCTGTTCTCAGATACCTACCCTGCTAGGTGTTTCCAGATTCTGCATAGCAGCATCCATAATTGAGCAGACAAAGACTGGTGCCATAAACTAGACTTTATGAGCACCTAGTTTGCCATGTTAGAATATTCTGTAATTTGATAGGTATAGTTTTCCATAATACTAAACCTTTATGCTTCTCATCTCTGACTCCTTTTAGATTCTTACACGTGTGTTTGTGTGTGTGTGTGTGTGAATCTTTTCTTTACCATGGACCCCCTTTAAATACCTTTTATGGCTGGATGGCGATGGACTCTCAAGACTTAACTCAAGTTTTAAATCTGCCCCCCCCCCCCAATGCCATCAGTCTGCTAAACACCTAATTTCCCCAGCACTGTCTTACGCCTAAAGATACTCACCCATGGAATAGGGTGTCCTTGACTTACGAACCCAAGTGAGCCCATAATTTCTGTTGCTAAGTGAGAAATTTGTTAAGTGAGCTTTGTCCCACTTTACAACTTTTTTGCCACAATTTTTAAGTGGCTCATTGCAGTTGTTAAGTTAGTAACACGGTTGTTAAGTGAATCTGGCTTCCCCATTGCATTTGCTTATCAAAAGGTTGCAAAAGGGTTCACATGACCCAGGGACACTGCAACCGTCATAAATATGACCCATTTGTCAAGCACTGAATGTAAATCACATGACCATGGGGATGCTACAATGGTCATAAGTGTGAAAAATGGTCATAAGTCACTTTTGTCAGGGCAGTTGTAATTTTGGCCACTAAACAAACTGTTGTAAGTTGAGTGTTGCCTGTGTTGCTATTATCCTTCTCCCCTTCTCATCTTTCCTACTATTTTATGATTTATCACTTTTCAATTTTATCTTATGATTAATGATTGTAACTATGATTTATGATCTATGACCTATCACTTTGTCGTTTGATATGTACAGTGAAACAAATTCATTGCACCGGAAACAAATTCATCGTGTGTAAAGAATTCTACTCATAAATCTGTGGAGCCCAGGTTAAGAATCACTATTTTACATCCCTTCCTGCCTGGATAACTAAGTAACCAATTCAACTGGAGTTAGCAAAGTCAGTGGACAAAATCAATACTCTGTAGTCTGTAATGTGTCCTGGATCAAATCCAAGAATTCTCCCGAACAGAGCCAGTAAAATTGGGCCCCAAAGGTTACTACAAATGGGATCAAAGGAGTCCAAACCACAAGGCAGACCACAAAGTACAAACCCAATTCAGGAACACAATAGCACAGCAAAAGAAAAAAAAAGATGTGAAGAATTACAGAACATAAATAGAGCTGGATCAGAGGACATTGTCATTTCCAGGAATCTGAGTCTTGACTAGAAATGCTTTATAATTAGAATTCATAATTCCTTATTCAGACTTTGTCTGAATTCAGAGAAATGAATCTATTATGGGACCGTCTGGGTACAGAGATGTTATTCTGAAAATTGTTGCATTCTAAAGGATTGGGTCAGTTGCAGGTACAAGGTGGCAAAGTGTTCTTGAATCCTATTCTTGCCTCTTTGAGATTTCTGGTTGAATTATCTGGATGGGATGACAATGCTTTAAATTAAGTGTCTAGGGCATCCCTTGAATTTTCCACAATGCTCAGACATTGTAGGAAATTAATGTGATCCAGTTGCTTCTCAGCGTGGGACAGCAGCCAAGGGTTAGTATCAGAAATGGAGCTAGCATGGAGCCGTCATTCACAGCTTCTCAAATATGTCCAAGATGTCTTTTTTCTCCTTGGGAAAAAACCAGCCCATGACCCATGGATATTTGATTCAGATATTAGTTTGAAGGAAATTTGATTGCACCTTCTAATCAATCACATAGTCAGAAGAAATCTGTTCAATCATTTGGTTTGGTCCTGGATATCCACAAAATTCCAAAGTTCCAAGTTGAAAAACCATTTAAAATAGAAAGGAGTGGCCATTTCAGTTTTTTTTTTAAAAAAATGCTGGAATTGGGATGATTTGTACATCACAAATCAAAAGGAAATACCGGTAACAGTAATAAAAAATATCTTAACTTGTATGCTGCTGCTTCTTTTATACACGGATTATGAAATTCTCCCCCAGAAGAGTATTATTTCAAACAAAAATTAAATTTGAGAATGTTATCAAGATTAAGAATGATTACTCTGACATATAGATGTCATCTTTGACCACATTTCTCCAAATATTCTCCACAATTTGAAGGAGGGAAGGGGCAGTTGACCTCTTCAAAATACAGCAGAAGGATGCTAGTTGAAAGCATTGGGGAATATACAAAAATGAAACCCATATTTCTTGGCATTGCCACTAACAGCAACTAAAGAGAAGAGGACGACACTGAAAAAGAATGCTGATGGTGGGCCTCATCCTAGAGACATCCCTGATTTTCTGGAGAAGTAGAAACATGGAATGGACAATCTTCCTTTACTCTTCAACCCATAGATAGGATGGAAAATTATTTCGGTTCAGCTCTTGTAACAAAACCTTTGGATTCTCCAAGAGACCTCTCTTCCATAACAATTATAGGTGGTCTGCCCATTTCTTCCCTTACCAGATCTTCCAAAATAGGAATGGTTGACAAACGGTTATAGGTACTGCATCACAATTCCCAAATTTGTGTATCTAAGGCTCTAAAAGTTGGCACAATCTCCTGGAAAAAATGTTGCTCCAAAGTTAGTCCAGAGGGACTACATGGAAAAGTACTGTAAAAGGTCAGCTTATTGCTTAGCAAAGTTCTCTCTGGTATGAGAGGCCCATCATTTTTTTGCTTGCTAACAAAACAAGGAGTGGGTTGAGGACTTTCCCCAATATAAAAGCTATACTATTATGAGCTGTTCATTTAGAATTGTTCCATGGATAGCTGTGCCATTTTTCTTTCACCAGGATCAGGAACTGAGGCATGTTGCTGGAGGTGGTTGGTGGATTAAGATAAGACTCCACTTCCCCTGTGCATATCTTGCTCCCTTCCTCCCCATCTGTTAAATTATTACTGCTATTAGGAATATTTATTCATGGTTTTATTGGCTTTTAATAGTTATAAGCCATCCAGCGTCCCCTCAAAGCAAACACATTTTATTATCCTCATCATCTTTTCTTGTGATGTTCTAAATTAAATTTGTATCTCAGATGCAACCTGTTTGAGTTAGCCCATCTTCTGGGTTTGCACAGTGCATGAACTAGGAAGGAACCAAATGGACTCAATTCAGAGTAGGTTTCATATGATGGCTTATGTCATTTCAGCACGGTGCATCACAATGCAAAGGTGATGCAATTATCTCAGTTAAACCAAGACAGCAAGGTGATTTCCCTCAATGAACGTTCTGCACTGCATTGGAACCTCTTTCCAAGACTGGGTATCTTTAACAAAGAGAAGGACTAGATGGAACACGATAGCAGTCATCCAATTTGCAAGGGGCTGCCACAAAGAAGAGGGGGTGGTCAACTTATTCTCCAAAGCACATGAAAGCAAGATAAGAAGTAATAGTAACCTTACCAACCTAGGAATTAAGGAGGGATTTCCTGACAATTCTGACAGTTAACCAGTGGAACAACATGCCTTCAGAAGTTGTGGGTGTTCCATCCCTGGATGTTTTCAACAAGAGATTGGACAGCCATTTGTCTGGAATGGTGAAGGGTCTCCAGCTTGAGTAGGGGGTTGCACTAGAAGACCTCCAAGGTCAGGAACTGTCCACAAGTATCAAAGAGTGTCATTGTGCCAAATTTAGTTTGTTGTTGAAACACACCGCTACTTTTCAAACGGATCCGTTTAAGTATGTTTTGTGAATCCAGCAGCAAATAACAGTTTTATAGTCTCTACCACTTTCCAGGCATGTGCATCTCAAGCTTCAGAGAAGATCAAGGGCTCTTCAGAGGAAGGGTTAGCAACTAGTAGGTGTAGAGTTGGAATATCTGGCTCTGCCAAGCTTCTTAAGCATTCGATTGGCTCCCAGCAGGTGCTGAGAGAGCAGTTTTTCTGTTGGGAGAAATCCAGGAATTGACTGGTTTTTTTTCAAATAATAGGCAGTACTGGGGGGTTACATACAGTGCACATTCCCCTTCTTTTCAAAAAATAAACTACATAAGGGCTATTTAGTTACAGGTACTCAGTTATGCTCACGGACGAGCAAAATAAAAGGATAAATTGAATAGATATGTCGAAATAGTATACAGTTAAAAATAGTATGAAATAATTTAATAAAGAAGTGAATATAAAGGGGAAAACAAAACGTTACAATGTCATCCGTCAAAGATTAGGATGCATTATGCTAAAGGTAATCACTGCAGATAGAAACTTAGCAGCAACTCTTCTGGTGAGCTTAGGCGTCTGATCTGTGAGTAAAAAAAAAAAACTAGAGATAGTAACAGTATTCCTGTAGGCACATTGGCATAAAACAGGCAACAGCAAAATATATCGGATGGTCTCGGGTTCATCACCAGGAGACCATCTCTCAATAAAGGGGCTACCATTGAATCTTCTCTCTGGCACTGCTGAGGGTAAGATGTTGCAACAAATCAAAGAAAAGGTTGGACTGCCTGCTGGGTCAAGAAGGCCGAATCAATCGCTTGTGGGTTTAAAAGGTTCCACACTGGAGCCCACCACTGAGAGAGAGCTGGGTAGAGCACCCAAAACCACCTGCCCTGCAGTGGCAAAACTGGTAGATGGAGTTGGGCTTGAGATGAATATAAGCCTAGGGACAGCAGAGAGAGGTGCAGGTCAGCTGAGATTGTGTGTGTGTGAATCTTTCCCTTTCCCTCCTTCTTATCCATCCATCCATCCATTGAGCACCAAAGGGACATTTTGCCAAATCTTGCTGTGCACAGTCACCACAAGTCCCTCCCCAAGGATCTTCCAGACCTTTCTTCTACCAGAACTCCAATTCTGACCCTTCCCCTTTGGTGCACAACCTACCTAGCTTGGTTCCCTGAAGAGCCCATTCTCCGAATGAACCCTGGATCATAAAGTAACTAATTGGGCTGGATTTGTGCAACAAAGTCCAATGCAAAGGAAAAAAAATCTGAATCTAACCAAGCTCGGCATGTTCTGTAGCTGGAACCACTGGATTTTTGAGTGACTTCTAAACACAGTCTGTGAACTAGAGAGCGGTTCTTTGGGCTCCCAACTATGCCAAAGGATTGACCTTGATTCTTTATCAAACCATCTTGGAGGGGTCAAAATACTGATTACACTGTGGATTGAATTCTACTTCAGTACTAATCTTGGGGTGATATTTTTTTGGTATCCAGTCGCAGGGGATTAGGGGAAGAGACAGCTTCTTTGTGATGGGATCCTTGACTTGTAAACTTGGTCTCTTTTTGTATCTTCCTCCAGGGTTATTTAAAGCAGTGTCGGAAGAGAAGAGACATGTTCAGTGATGAGCAGCTGAAGATCATATTTGGCAACATTGAAGACATCTACAGGTTTCAGATGGGCTTTGTAAGGGACTTGGAGAAGCAGTACAACAATGAGGACCCTCATCTCAGTGAAATAGGACCGTGTTTTCTAGAGCACGTAAGTTTTTCAGAGAGAAAGACACTGAACGGGAGCCATCTTCAGTTTAGCTTGATTATCTTTGCAGAGTTGGGTTGCTAGGCATGTTTTTCATGTTCCATAGGAGACAATTTCTACACAGCATTGATTAGATTGCTCCTTGTGGTTTCCATAACCATAATTTGCGGAATGAATCATAATAAGTTGAATGTTCACAGTAAGCCAGGGGTGTCATTGAGGACTGTATCACAGGGTTGTGTTTGAACCTGTGTGTGTGTGTGGCCAGAGTATGCATAGCCAGCTTGATGTCACTCATGTCGGGGGCGCCTGTGGTGGTCCAAGCACTCTGCCAGCAAAAACGGAGCTCGGTGGTCCTGCCTCCTGCAACCCTCTGCCAGCAAAAAACAGAGCTGGCCGAGGCACCAATGGGCCAGTTCTTCACTGTTTCCAGGGCAGCCCTGCAGCCATATCTAAGCACCCCATGGGCTGGATCGGCCCACAGGCCTTGAGTTTGACACCCCTGCAATAGGCTTTCCCTGAAGTTCACAGCGGCTTAATCATCTGGGCCTGTCCCTGATTTAGTTTGCTTCAGTGATGTTGGGCTGCATTGTCAAACACCAGATATAATTTCCATAAGACATGAGTTTTTGTTTGCGAAGGATGGATGCGGAGTGTGAATAATGAATGCTGACCACAGAAAGTGAGCTAATGAAGAATAACATCATCTGTCCATTCCTAAAATCTGAAAATCCTGTTTTCTGATTACTTGCTAGGAAGCTGCTTCTGCAGTGCACCAAAGTATTCTCCACTTAACAGAAGATTGCAGCAGTTCTTATGGCCCCTTTGTTTCTTCTTTTCATCCTCCTGTTTTATGGAAACTACAGTGTAGAGATCCTGCCTAAAAATGTGTTGCAGTAAATTAGGGAAACTAACCAAAGAGATTTTAACCAGCAGGGAAAGGGGTTAGCACTGTATCTGGGTACTGTTGTTATTTAAGTGTTTACATCAATTTTCTTGTTGTGTATGTGGATGAATTGAATTGCCTTCCACCCAATAAGTATTTTTCAGTGTTGCTGTCAATGGTTCATTCTGCTTTTTGCAAACCTCCATTTAGCTCAGGCACACTCTTTCATCTTGACTGGGGGATTCTGGGAGCTGAAGTCCAGACATCTTAAAAGTTGCAAGGTTGGGAAACAAGGCACCAGGCTAGAAACCAGAAGACCGAAATAACAGAGTTGGAAGGGACCTTGGAGCTCTTCTAGTCCAACCCCTGCTCAAATAGGAGACCCTATACTATTCCAGACAAGTAGCTGTCCAGTCTTAAAAGCCTCCAGTGATGGAGCCCCCACAACTTCTGAAGGCAAGCCGTTCCACTGGCTTATTGTTCTCACTGACATGAAATTTCTCTTTAGTTCCAGTTTTCTTCTCTCCTTGATTAATTTCTGACCATTTCTTCTTGTTCTGCTTCCTGGTGCTTTGAAAAATAGGTTGACCCCCTCTTCTTTGTGGCAACCCATCAGATATTAGAACACTGCTATCAACTCAGCCCTAGTCCTTCTTAGACTAGACATACCAAAATCCTGCAACTGTTTTTTGTACATTTTAGCCTCTATTCCCCTAATCATCTTTGTTGCTCTTCTCTACACTCTTTCCAGAGTCTTTACACCTTTTTTTATAATATGGTGACCAAAACTGGATGCAGTCTTCTAAGTGGGGTTCTCACCTTGGTTTAGATACAAAGCCAGCTAGGTGTAAAGGGCTGTGAGAATAGCCTTGAGAGACACGAGGAAGAACTACAGCCTAGACAACCGTCAGATAAAATCTGAGAAATGTAATTTGAGAAAGCATCTCTTTTCTCATTCTCTGGAATATAAAGGCAGGGAGGGAAGAGGATTCTGTTATTGTAATACAGTGTTTTTTCCGTTATGACCCCTTTAAGATGGGTCTTAAGGAATTCTGGGATTTGAAGTCCACTCATTTTAAAGGGGCTGTGGTTTTGAAAAAACACCACTGTAACTTTACAATAAAAGTAGTACTGTATTTGTATTGATGATTTTGGCTTCCTGGCTTAGGTTACCTTGAAGCGCCAAAATAGGGTGACATTGGGTCAGTTATTCTCTCACAGCCCAAGAAGACTACCCAAACCACTTCTCAAAACTGCAGGGATTGATTCAGGCAGTGACCTAGAGGTAAGATGGTCTCAAAAGCATGAAAGAAAACAAAAATATAACCCACGCGTGAGGAACAGGATGTTTTTGCTGACTGAAATGGCTCTCACGGACTCTTTGCTCTTGCCAGTTACATAAATACCATTTTACAGGGCTGATGGGATTGTAGATATATCCAGAAATGTCAAGAAAATCATGCAATGTAGCTTTTGCAGCTTCTCCTTTGGGGAGGAGGCAGCTCTAAATTGTTATGTAAGAAAATGCCACTTATCCAGGCGCTGGATCCTTTGAAGCATAACCAAGTTGCTTTCGGTGTCAACTCTACCCGGCTCCCTTTCATACCAGGTAGGCTTTGAAGAATGTTAGAGAAATGCATTGCGACTGCTGATCATTCCTCTACAGGATACCAGTAAAACCCTTCTCAGCATCTTGTGTCATAATGCCTTAACATTACCAATTCAGTTCTTTGCTCGCTTTCATTCATAAATTGTCCTTAGCACAACGAGTTTTGAAAAGGCTTTGAAAAGAAGGAAAGGAAATAAACCATAATTGCTACAATCCATCTGGGGTTGTCACAGTTTTGCCCCAAGGAAGGTTCTTGCCACCTAGTTTAACTTCGGCTGTCTGTTTCCAAAAGAGGAAGATAAAGGAACAGTGGTGGCGCAGTGGTTAGAATGCAATACTGCGGGCTACTTCTGCTGACTTCTGGCTGCCAGCATTTCGGCAGTTCGATTCTGACTGGCTCAAGGTTGACTCAGCCTTCCATCCTTCTAAGGTCTGTAAAATGAGGGCCCAGATTGATTGGGGGCAATTTGCTGGCTCTGTTACCTGCTTAGAGAGGGCTGTAAAGCACTGTGAAGCGGTATATAACTCTTAATTGCTATTGCTATAAAGAAATTGTGTTTGTCAATGAGATTGGGAAGAGTTGCATTGTTTTTTGATGGGAGAAACGAGACTGTTAAAGGAATAGTCCATGTTATGGGCCTCTCCAAGGAATCAGATTCTGACCTAACAGGAGCAATGGGGTGGAATATATCTGGATTCCCAAGAAGGAGGGGTTGCATTCCCAAGGTCCAAGAAATAGTGAAGTTTAGATAGTTTGGATGGCAGAAAGATCATCAAGGTGGCTGCTTCCAAGGGATTCTCAGGGTACAGGTTGTCCTCGACCAACAACAATTTGTGTAGTGACCGTTCAAAGTTACAACAGCACTAAAAAAAAGTGACTTATAATCAGTTTTCACACTTGTGACTATTGTAGCATCCCCATGGTCACATGATAAAAGTTCAGACGCTTGGCCAGTAACTCATATTTCTGACAGTTGGAGTGTCCCGGGGTAATGTGACCTTCTGACAAGCAAAGTCAATGGGGAAGCCACTTTCACTTAACAACCATGTTACTAACTGAACGACTGCAGTGATTCACTTAATAGCTGTGGCAAGAAAAGTTGTAAAATGGGGTAAAATTCACTTTACAACTGTCTCGATTAGCAACAGAAGTTTTGCAGCATTAATTCAGCATCAGAAAAATAAACACAGGTTGCTGATGCTTCATTTAACATCTTTATAAACATAATAAGTAGATTTTACAAACCAGTTGTGGATTTCTCCAACATGGAGCAAACTCAGACAGAAACATGGTGCAAGTTCAAAGCAGAGCTCTAGTCTTCAGCAAGCAAGCAAGTTAGCTTCTCTTTCACTTTAGTTCAGAAGGCAAGCAAGAGGAGAAGCAGTTTCATCTTCAATAGACAGACTCAGAGCTTAACATCGCTTCAGAGCTGCAGAGCTTAATATAGAGCCACGCCTAGGCTACTTCTAGTTTCAGTTTCCAAGCAGACCTCATTGGCTGACTTAGTTGCTATGCCTATTCATTGGCTGACCTTGGTACCAAGCTCTATTCCAGTTCATGAATATACTCTGACAAAGTTTTGGGCTCAATTGTACTCATAAGTTAAGGATTACCTATATATCTTTAATGATACAAATAATTGTTTTACCAATAAAGGAGAATATTTGTTGCTAAGGGCTGAAATAACGAGTCCTTGGTTTGCCGTGCCCAATTCACCATGGCCAACTTGCTGCAGCCAATTCACCATGGGACACTTTTTGGGACAACCTCACCTTGGCCAACTCGCCATGGGACAATTTCACAATTCAATTTAATTATTTAAAATAATTTTTAAAAAGTATTTTTTGTCATTCACATTTCATTTTATCCCTTCTTTTCATCCTTTCTTTAACGATCCTATTCTATTCCTTTGATATTAGTGTAACTCTTGACATGGAGGGCGTTTGTTGTGGTGAGTTGTTCTGTAGCGAGTTGACAGTGGTGAGCTGCCCATGGCAAGTTGGCCAGGGTGAATTGGCCGCTGCGAGTTGTCCTAGTGGTGGCTAACCTTTTGGGACTCCTGGGCCAAAAATTGCATGTGCACCAGCGCGCACACACTCGCGTGCCAGCCCCAGAATGTCATGCGCACCACCCCTCCCCACACCCCCTGTGCATGGATGCGCAATCGCCCCCCGCCACCCCCTTACCTGCACTGCGCCTCACGGCTGATTTTTCGGCTGGTTTGAGGCCTTTTTCAGCCTCCCAGAGGATTGGAAAAAGCCTCTGCAAGGCTTTTCAGGACGAATGATAGGCCCGTTTTGTCATGTCCTGTAACACTGGAAGTGATGAAACAGGCCTATAATTTGGCCTGAAAAGCCTTGCAGAGGCTTTTCCCCAGCCTCTGGGAGGCCGAAAAAGGCCTCAAACCAACCGAAAAATATCAGCTACAGTGAGGTAAGTTTGCCTGCGGCTCAAGGGCCAGCACAAATGGCTCTGCGAGCCACTTGTGACACACGTGCCCTAGATTC